AGACACTATGTAGATACGTAGGGGTCGTCTCTACAACACGCTGCCGCTCTACCACACGGCTGGTGGTCTAGTGGGCACGGGCGCGGCGCTCATCGACGGCATACCAACCGTCGTGCGCCCGCGCTTCTCTGCCTCCAACTACTGGACCGACTGCATCAAGTACGAGTGCACGGTACGTGACGTGATAGTCAAATGTATGAGCGTAATTAGGTTCTTGTACAGAAGGGGTCATTCTGGTCTAAAGAGGGAGGGGGGTAATATGTTGGCAGGCTCTTAGACACTAAAGAAAGAGACACAAGGTAGATACGTAGGGACTGTCTATACAACGCGCTGCCGCTCTACCACACGGCTGGTGGACTCGTGGGCACGGGCGCGGCGCTCATCGACGGCATACCAACCGTCGTGCGCCCGCGCTTCTCCGCGTCCAACTACTGGACCGACTGCATCAAGTACGAGTGCACGGTACGTGACATTATACTAATGTATGAGCGTAATTAGGTTCTTGTACAGAGAGGTCATTCTGGTCTAGAAAGGGAGGGGGTCAGGCTCTTAGACACTAAAGAAAGATACACAAGGTAGATACGTAGGGATCGTATCTACAACACGCTGCCGCTCTACCACACGGCTGGTGGTCTAGTGGGCACGGGCGCGGCGCTCATCGACGGCCGGCATACCAACCGTCGTGCGCCCGCGCTTCTCCGCGTCTAACTACTGGACGGACTGTATCAAGTACGAGTGCACGGTACGTGATATAACAGCGAGCTAAGTAGCTTTTCCGCAGCATCGGCGTATGGTGCAAGTTCTAGCACAAGAGGCGGGCATTCTGGGCCAGAGGGTTGGGGGTCAGACTTTTGTTGGCAAGCACTTGGGAAGTTACTTAAGATTCTTTTCAGCTTCTGAATTTGGCCCAAGATAATGTCATTCCGCCAGAATCATCGTCACTCTTCCCGTAGTAAATGTCGTAAGAAGTGACTAAGGGAGAATATGCGAACTCCAGGCCTAAGTAGAATGGGGAGTTTTGAGTTTCATGCTCCTGGTGGAGACAAAATGGCCTGATGAGAATTCTTATNGGGTACAGATTTTTGTGTGGGATAGCTCATTTATCTTTATTTATTTATTTAGGAAGGCTCTAGTAGGCTACACAAGGTGTCTCAAAATAAAGCGTAACACTTGTATGGACATTAATAACTAAAATTGGTCATATTAACTGATAACTTATGAAACTTTTTTATGTAGATTAGATACAGGACCTACATACTCGTATTAGGCTTGTTCGATGCGTCTTAGGCCCAGTTACCTCTAGTATCAGTGTGACGTGAAATTTTGGGATATACTGTTTACCAGGGGTGGCCAACCGGTCGATCGCGAATATTAGTCCAGTCGATCGTGGCAAGGCAAAAAATACTACATGATTGTGTACTAAATTATACTGTTTCATTTAAGATTTCAAGAAGTATGTAAGTGATAGATCGCCCAGGGTTGCGATAGTAAACAGTAGATCTTATGTCTAATCAAGTTGGCCACCCCTGCTGTATACCATCACGCTACGAAAAATAGGACTGAGCAGCGCATCAATGAAAAATCTTGCGAAAACGGGAGAATAATATTCATTTTCACGCGAACGACGTCGCGGGCACAGCTAGTTAAACAACAAACTCAACATTTTACGCCACATTGGGTGTGAATTATAAACATCAATATTTATATTTGATTTAATAATTAATAATATTTAAGGCCTGCTTCATTGATTAACTAATGAAAGCCTATTAATAACTTATTATGTCAAATAAACTACAACTTTTTGTTTCACAGAATATCTGGCAAGTCACAGGTAACATCACAGTAACATATAACATTTATCAGGATGATCATATAAAATATACCTAGGCCCTTTCTATACAGAAATGACTGAAAAAAAAAACAGCCAAGTGCGAGTCGGACTCAAGAGTAAGGATTCCGTATCTCATTTATCTTTCATTGATTTTTCTAACCGTCAAATAAACCGTCAAGTTTGAGCTAAGTATAACCTTTGACGTAGATACAGGGTAATTTTTCAGGGTTACCTTTATAGGAATTTTTCTGAAAATAATTCCTGAAAACACAAAAAAATTTAATTGTTAGCGATAGCAAATTCTTGTAGAAAAAGATCGTATTTTTTCCTCACCCACTATTGAATCCTACATCGTACTCCTCCTATGTTCTTCTGATTAATTTCGTTGCGGGTCCAATGACAATTCAACTTTCCCCCGGCACAAACTTGAACTTCACTGGTTGGGTTTTTATTTGCGGTCAAGCTGTAGATCCTGGCTACACAGAATATGCAGCGGTGGGAATGAGAGGTGGGAAATTCCCACTTTGGAAGAAATTCACATTTCCCACCAGGAATAGTCCCGGAATATTGATCCTACATTAAAAGTTCTTCATAATCATAAGTAATTCCTGGAAAATTGGCAACAGTTTGAAAAAATTACCTTTTTTATGAAGCACCAATATCTGTTACAAATATTATACACATTTTATGTAACAAGCCCGCTTTTATAACAAGGGAAATTGGGTTTATGTGTTCATTGTTAGCCGTTACGTGAAAAGTGTTCGCCTATTGTGTAACATCTGCCTGTTTGTGCCTATTGTATTCTGATGGTGACCTTGGGGTGCTTTTAATGTTTTGGCGGAACATTTATCATGGGTTGTTGATAACGGTTAAGTTATTGGGATATGCAAGGTGTAGAAAAATTAACGAGATGATTTTAGAGCTCAAATACAAATCTTATTTTGGGTAGTACTTATTATTAGAGATGAAACGGATATCCGGCAACTATCCGGTAGGCCGGATATCCGGCCCTAAATTACTATCCGGCCGGATACCGGATAGTAACTCACTATCCGGCCGGATACCGGATATTAAAAAAAAACGACAATTTCCTATTAATAAAATGAAATACATTAATCTTTGAGGTAAATATCAATAAAATGGCTTACAATAATGACGGCTTTTATTTAAAGTCCAAAAAGTTACAAAAAAGCCATATTAAGGCCTTTCAAAACTAATTTATTTTTCTGGGCTATTCACTCTAATGACGAATACATAGATAAATAGTAAATATCTGTTAATGTCGAAATATTGCCAAATAAAATAGGCGATTTTTTTTTCACTGATGGTCTGATGACATCATGCAACTACACTGGTCATCACAAAGATCGACCCTCCCGCGACAAGCACTTTCAAACGTATGCATCCCCACTTCCCACCAATATTGGCACCATTTAAAAGCCTAGTTCTAAACTTCATTTCATTAAAGGAAAGGTTTTTACCCCAAAAATGTGTCTGTAGAAGAATCCAGAGTCACTTCTTCAAAAAATAGGTAGTTACGCTTGAGCCGACTTTTATGGCTATAAAACTGTTAAGTTGGGATTAATCGCTATCCATCTGTTAAAGAGGACACGTGAGATCATTATTTGGTTTTATAACCATAAAAATGGGTCTAATTGATCCCAGAGGTGAGCCCAAAGTGAGGTCTTTTTTCAAGTCACATTTATTGTATATCGCGTTTATGTTAATCGTTTATTAAGAAATTAAATGTGTTTTTCTTTAAGGATATTATTATTGGGCTTTCAAATAACACCAATATTGTTGGGGCTGTGTCTGTAGCTGTAGTGTCAGTAGAAACGAGTTTTACTGTAAAACGTAGGTGGGCCGATTTTTGTGATGACCAGTATAGTTAAATTTTCGCTATTTAATCACACACTCACTATTGCAGCCGAAATTGAATTGATCTGCCCCCTAGACAAGTGGCAAAATCTGACATTCTATTCGGACGGATTCGATTTTCCAAAAGTGTGACTAGTCTATTCTACTAATAGACCCACTGATCGCGTTTGAAGCACCTGTGCGGCACTATACTCGTCACGACATGCAACGAGACAATGGGCCAACTATCCGGCCGCCGGATATCCGGCTATCCGGCCTAGCAGCTGGCCGGATATCCGGTATCCGGTATCCGGCCAAACAACTATCCGTTTCATCTCTACTTATTATTATTCTGTGGTAAAACTTCGAAATTTCCTTGAAAAAATTTGGGGTAAAAATAAGAAGGTATTGGACTGGGAGAGATGTATCGATAGCATATTTTGATTCATCATCATCATCTCAGCCATAGGAGGTCCACTGCTTAACATAGGCCTCCCCCAATGCTTTCCATGTTACCCGGTTGGTAGCATCCTTTAATACTTTGATTAACAGAAATAAAAATATACCTACTTACAAAAATACCTTAACTTTTCGTACACAAAAAGGCATTTCATATGCAAATATTTTTATGAATATTTTACGTAGTGGTAGGTACCTAAAGAATTCATTTAGGCTAATCTCTGTAAGTAAACGTAGTACCTACCATGACCACTTAAAACAAAATGAACGATACGTAAAAATAACAATAGAACGCGAAAATTGTTTCAACCATACATAAACCAGTAACGCTTGTTAATTCCGAAAAAATCTCGCTTGTTTGTAGTTTGCGAGTTGCAATTTAATGAACCACTGAACTAAACAAGAAAAAACCTTTGTTTCATAGTACCAAACATTTTTTAATTGATTAAATTCGAGTTAGAGTAAGTAAGTAGCATAAAACAAAAAAAAAACTATGAATAAATTCGTATTATTCCAAGTTTTTCCAGACCTGGCCATAAACAAAACAAGAAGATAAGAAGAAAGGTACCTACTTATTGGAATAAGTAGAACTGAACCGAATAATCACCACTGTCTCACACAGCCTTAATAATTTAAAATTATTAATTACATACCTGACACATTCGGAGTTCCTCAAGGAAGCATCTTAGGTCCGACGTTATTTATTATTTACATGAGCGACCTCTTGGACCTTCCTTTAGACAGAGCTGACATTATATGTTACGCTGACGACACAGTCATCCTCTTCCAGGGTTCGTCCTGGACAGAAGTATACAAAACAGCAGAGGAAGGTATGACGGTGGTTGCCGACTGGCTTTGTAAAAATTTACTGACTCTTAACGTTACCAAAACTAATTATATAGCATTTTTTAAGACAATAGCATCGCAACCTCCACAATCCATAGAACTAAAATTGCACACCTGTAACATAGCTTCACAAGTAGAATCAACAGTTTGTAAATGTCAATTAATAAAAAGGTCCGATAGCATGAAATATCTTGGTGTCATACTTGATGAAAACTTATCATACAAAAAACATATTGCAAACCTGTCAACCCGAATACGAAAGTGCATACACATAATGAAAATTCTCCGTCACTCAGCGCCAAAAAGGATTATATTTCTTGTCTACAAATCACTATGCCAATCGCTGATGATTTATTGTATTAGAGCCTGGGGAGGAGCATCTAAAACTGTCATAATTGAACTCGAAAGAGCCCAACGTGCGGTATTAAGAGTGATGCTGCGCAAGCCTTTTAGATACCGAACAGACCAGCTGTACAAAGAGTGTAAAGTTCTTCGAATCCGTCAACTATATATTCTGCGCACCGCAATATCCATGCACAGCACCACTTTGAACTCTGACAAATATGAACTCTTAAACAAACAACGCGTATTCAAAGTTCCAACCCCAATCATTCACACTTCTTTTGTAAGACGCCAACCATTGTTCCTCTATCCCCACATCTATAACACCATTTGCCACCAAGTAGATATCAGAAACACAATTACTAGCAAAGCCAAACGGTTAATAGAATCCTGGCTTTTAGAACTGGACTACGACCAAACAGAAGAAATCATAAACGCGTCATACTAGCTAACTATTCTAAAACACACACACACACACACACACACCACACACAAACACACACACACACACACACACGCACACACAGACATATTCGTTCGTTCCTTCGTTCTCACTACCATGTTGGATTATATAATTTTAAATAATACAATTTTTATGTTATTGTTATTAGTTTTTCCAAACCAAAGCTATGTCATGTCATTAATATTTGTTTAGAACAGTTTTATATATTTTAACACATTATAAATGTTAAGCCTAATTAACTAGTATAAACATGTCCGTCCTATTAAGACCGATGTCATTATTTTTAAGGTAATTGTTCGTATTGGCCGCTGCGATACAAGCTTTCCTGCTTAGTGCAGAGACCGCCAGAATAATTTGTACAATGTAACATCTTTTAGTAATAAATACTTTTTTACTTTTTTACTTTTTTTTTACTTTACATGCTTATTGCATTATTTGCATCTCACTGATGTCGCTATAGTATTCTTTCACAACTTCAACGACACTACAAAATCACTGAAAATTTTCAATTTCTCACACATCAATCAAATGCTATAATTATCGTATTAATCACACAGAAACATAATATTATACATATTAAATAAGTTATTTAAATACTAGGATTGCAGACAAAGAGCAGGTTTCGAGACAAAACAAAACATGTCATCGTCATGTGCGTCGCGGTTCTGACTGTTGCGAGTTCGCATAATATCAAATTGTTGCGGTCCAACTCCTACACGCTCCTGTGAGCCTGGTACACACAGGCACTGTTTACTCTTAATGTAGATATTTTTGAAAGTGATTAACTTATTAAAAATAATAAGAAAGAACCCAGATTTATTGGAAACCATAAAGTTTCGCTACCTTTGAAAAATGTGTGATTTTTTGTCCAGAAACCTTAGCCAGTTACCTTGAAAATTGGCTTAGGGGCGACAGACACTGCCTTTCTTAGCTACTAGCTTTTGCCCAAGACTTCTTCGTCTCCCACAAGAAAAATAACACCCAGGAATAATTTAGAATACTTAACCCTTAAGTAACACCGTGGGGTAATTTTTTACCCCAGGCACATAAAAATTGTCATATCTTTTTTTCTAGCGTAGCTAGTGTGATGTCGTTTTGTGTATTCTCAATCCAGAGTGTGCGCTTTAATCTCGTAGACGCGAGATGTGAAAAAAATCATCCGTTTGGCTTGTACAGGTAGGTGGGGCAGAAATTTACCCCAGGGTGTTAGTTACGCATACTTTAATTTATCATCATCTAACATGTTATTAATAGGTTTTTACAACATTGAAACAAAATGAGTAAATATTTATATGACGATTAAGTAGCACATTGTCTCTAGAATGCAGAGAGATAATTAGAGCTTGATTTACATGATACTTTTCGAACTTTGAAGACATCCCCTCAGAATAGAGCGTTCATAAATTCGACTCAGAAATAGGGCTCAAAAATGATAATTACGTAGTAATTCAGCGTGTCTGATGTTTTCGAAAAAAATAATTGGGAATAAAATAAATAAAAAATATTTTTAAATATTTTTTCATAATTTTATAAAAAAAATAGTTTTTTTATTTTGCTTTATTATAAAGCCAGAAATTTTCGTTTTATTTCATTTTGTGTTTAAAATATGCATAAAACATCTATTTAATGTCCGATTAGTATAAGTTTTTGGTTCTCACAATAACTTTCCAAGATGTTTCTAGAAGACCATTGTGGAGACTATAAGTTGCCAATGACAAATTATTTGTTTTTTGTTATGATTGATTTAAGGTGTTTCTTTACGCTAGATAGACGTTATTTTAAAGCAATCGTATAAGTCAGTGATTCCATTAATACATTGTAAATCACAAAATTAAATTGATTGTAAATATTTACTTTAAATTTTTCAATTTCCGTTTGGGGTAATTTATTGCCCCAGGGTGTTCAAAGTGTAACCAAAAATAAGGATGTTACTTAAGGGTTAATATTACTATGGTGTTATGTGTGCCATTTTGCAAAGTTACATCAAAATCCGTCCAGTAGTTTTTGCAAAAAACATCTTTAAGTATGTAACTTACAAATCACTTAAAAAATGATAATATTAAAAGTTCCTATGAAACAACTATTGCAAATTAAAACAGTTACATTAATAGGCTCAAATCTGTGTTTTATTGTTGCTATCTGTATCAATCTAGGCGCGTGGGCAGCCAAGACAGCACCAGTTTATTGCTCCTTAGTTGATTTGGCATTGACAATGATATATTCATTCCATGTCCAACTCACTTGCATTCCACTTGACATTGGCATAAATCAACCTGTTAAAGAGGTTTGATTGACCGCCTCTGAGGTTTAGTGGTAAGACAGCCTGATTCCGGTCCCGGATTTGATTCCCAGTAGAGACAGTTTTTTCTAAGTCCGCCTGGCTAGCTACCACCATCTTACCTAAGTGTGTCGCGGATTTCGGGTGATCTGTGGTTGAGGCTTTCGGGTGAAACTCGCTTCCACCTTCGGCCTGATCATCACTTTCCATCAGGTGAGTGAGGTGCCGGCGTTGTTTTAAAAAAAATAACGAGAAGATTACTCCCTGCCAAGTGGCTGTTATGTTTAGCTCGTCTGGCCAACGTAAAGAAGTATAAACCAAATCCTCCATTTGTCTGGTAAGGAGGGTCGTACCCTACAGTGGAGACTGAGAATAAATAACTTGATGAAGATGATAATAAAAGTTAAAAATTCACAACTAAGAAAAGTCACATACTTTCCGCTGCATAATCGTTAAAGGTGCATAATCTTTTCTTAAAGGTTTTAAACCTTTGTTTGTCACCTGTCATCCGCTTTGCAATGGAGGGAAGTCGAACCTTAATTTCGAACTCCTATGTTCTTCTGATTAATTTCGTTGTGGGTCCAATGACAGTTTAACTTTCCCCCGGGACAAACTTGACATTCATTGGTTGGGTTTTTGTGGCGGTCAAGCTGTAGATCCTGGCTACACAGGAGTTGCAGTGGTGGGAATGAGAGGTGGGAATAGTCCCGATACTTTCCACTACGGATGATGATGAAGTAAAAACTGGGACTTACCCGGATATATCTGTCTAGATCAGGTGGTATCTCGCCCTCCAGCTCCGAGGCAGAGTCTTTTTTCTTCTCCTGTGCGGCTGTGGCATTGTTTTCGCCCAGGGTTCCACCCCTGGCGAAGCTCACGTGAGGCTTCGCTGCTTCCACTCCTTGCTCTCCATTTTGGATCTGAAAGAAGATTTGATCACTGAGTGAAGAACGAAAGAAAGAAACCGCGTTTGTGGTCTAGTGGTAAGACCACCTGCTTCAGACGCAGAGGTCCCGGGTTAGATTTCCAGTGGGGGCAGATTTTTCTGTTCGGTTTGGTTGGTGGTTGTTTTTAGGGCTTGTTCTAAGTCTGCCTGGCTAGCAACCACCAACTTACCTAATTCTGTCGCCATAACAACAGTGTTAACAGCATTGTTGTGTTCCGGCAGTTAGAGGTAAGATAGCCAGTTCCTCCGTGGTTGAGGATTCCGGGTGAAGCTCGCTTCCACCTTCGGCCTGATCACGACTTACAATCAGGTGAGATACAGGCCAAGCGCTTCCTCGTTGTTGATAAAAAAAACATTTATTGCAATGGACAATAATGGACATCACAAAAGATAAACGAGGTAAATAAAAAAAACAAACAACACAGAGGTAACACACAAAACATACAATGGAAGAGAAAGTAAACTAAGCAGTGCCACCCTGTCGCACAGCGATGCCTATCGCAATGGGATGGGACCCCACTCAGCATATGTCGTGGCCCACGGTCAGGAAGGCCAACAACAAACAGGCCCTGGTTTTCAGTATGCCCCATGCCGAGTAGGAGTCTCGGACACTAACCTATAAGAACAGCAGCTAATCAGCTATGCATGCTATCCTATACTCCTATGAATATGTTGAGAAGAGTGAGGAGTGGTTTTGTGGATTACTAGTTGTTGACTTCAGTTCCTGAAGCATCCAAAAGCAATTTCTTTTCCGGGGTTGTGATTCTGTGAGATTTGAAATTTAAATTCTGCAAGGCACTTTTCCACATTATGTTTAGAGATTAATGTCAGTCATGTTTCATAGTTTAATTAAACGCCCTAGTTGTAGGATTATTCATTTTACGTCTATATTTAAAAGTTGCTCTGTATTATTTTGCTAGCATATTACACAAGTACCTACAGATTACAATCAAGTGGAATTTAACCAGAAGCCGTCACGGCACACGAACTGAAACGTTTGTTTTTCCGTTTAATAACCTGTCAAGAAACCAATTATGTGCTTATTCAGACGTAGGGAGTTTGTTACGCCCACGGGGCCTCATCAATCATTAACGCCAGGCCTGTGTGGCCTGAAGTGACCACTGACCGTTTGACTTTCGATATCGGGCCTATACGATCAGCCTGATAGCACAAGATAAGTAATGGGTTGAGGAATATTATATAGGGTTAGTGACGTCATAAGATACTTAGAAGTAGTTTAGTACCTTGCTATAGCCGCTTTTATGGGTATCACCGGTAGGAGAGGGTGATATGGTTTCATACTCATACTTTTTCTGATAAAGGCGTCTCCCGAAAGTATAAACACTGATCATTACCAATAAACCTCTTTTAAGGCCAGACTGGACGGACGACACAGGCAGAAAAGTCTCAGGAGATTTGGGATGCTTCATGGCGAAGACCAGCAATAAAAGTAAACGATGTCTCAGTGTCTCTATTGCGTGCGTTACAAAAATGGCAAATCCAGACCAACCTGCAGACGTGGGAAAGATGGTGTCAAGGTAAAGGTTGTAAAATTTCCTGGCTAGCAGCTACCATTCAGCCAAAAAGTTATGGGAGATTTCCTTTATTCCATAAGTACACGTGCCAATAATGTTTTCGAGGTTTCAGGCTTTAGCAAGGCCAGAAGCGTTATCTGAACTGGAACCCTCGGTCCACTCACAAATGATTAGATTAGGCATTGGCACAAAACATGCTTCATTTGTTTCATTCGACCTCTAATGTACAGACTGCACATCAGACCATACATTTAGTCGCAAAATAGCCTCTATTACAACGAAATAAGACCTCACAGGGTTTATCTTGACGTGCTGGCAACTGTACAATAAAAGCCTCTGCTATAAGACCACTAATTGGCAAGGATTCAAAAGAGTTTGCCAATCGTCGGAGTATGATATCATCAAAATAAAAAGGTCTGGAATTGTGTACACTCAACGTCGTGACACCCAAAGTAGCCAAAAAGTTCGCAGCACGTCTTTGCAACAATTGGAATAAGGTTGTGTTGCCAACTTTTTGGCCACTTTAGGTGTGACGATATTTGACGCTGACTGTACATGCCTGCAGTGAATATGAAGGCAGATGCACATGATCATACACTTTATCACTGTGTGTGAGTCATAGGACTTAATTTAGAGGCGCTCAGGCGCCACAGCGAGACACCAAACAAAAAATGTACTTACATCCATTAGTACCCAAAAAATGGATAAATCTCGAGCATTATGGGGGCTATCTAAACTCCGAAAAACCTTTGAAGCGTAGCGCGTAGTGTCGTAGTAAAGTCATGACCATGTCGATATTCAAATGTTCGCGCAAGTTTTCCAACAAGATTAGCTACTGTACTGATGCCATATTAGGGCACATGATAGGGCAGCCCAGCGTAGCCCTCTTATTGCGGACTAAAGGAACTTGTGGTAGTTATTATTGTAGCCAAAAGCGGCTTGGGAGGAGTATCATCATAATTTTCAGTCATAGGACGTTCACTGCAACATAGGCCTCTCCCAACGATTTCCACAATGGCCGGTTGGTGGCGGCCCGCATCCAACGCCTTCCTGCTACCTTTATGAGGTCGTCGGTTCATCTTGGGAGTAGTATAATACATAATTATATTCAAATGGTGTCGGAGTAACGTAATGTCGAAGTAATTTTGCCCGTTTGCCTAAGTTCAGTTTTTGAGCCTCAAAAAAAAGTCATACAGGCAGAAGATCATGTCCAGTATTGCAAAATGGAAATTCATTTAATCGGTAAACAGGCATTTTTATGGTAACGAACCGTAGCAACCACTTATAATCCCATCAGGCAAACATGTTTACGGTATTTTCGTAATCTACCCTCCAAATCTTGGCCTACATCAGCTGAATTTTCATTGCTAACAACCTTGAAAGCTTATCGCCGAATCCTTGATGGATTTACACATTTAAAGCGTTAAATGTAATCTTAACAACTTTATTGGAGTAAATGAGATTACCCACTGAGTTTGGTGGCACCTTAAAGTTTAGGTGAATAGATCGATGTGTATTAATCTTTCACACAAAAACTACTGAGATAGATAAAAGTGGGAGATTTGTGTAAAACTTCGTATGGCAACTTTCGTCCAGCAGTGGACTGTTAGAGCTTACTCTTAATAAAAAATTCTCAGAAGCCAGACAAAGGAAATCATGGAATTCAGATCAATCATTCAATGTAGTTAATATTTTGATCAAACTTGCCTGTGACTAGTTGTAATATTGGCAAATATAAAGGAATTTATTCACCCACAAGGTGAACCGACGACATCAAAAAGGTAGCAGGAAGGCACTGGACGCAGGCCGCTACCAACTGGGCAGCATGGAAAGCATTGGGGGAGGCCTATGTTCAGCAGTGGAAGTCCTATGACTGAGATGATGATGATGATGATGATAAAGGATTTTTTATAGTAAAAGTGATTGAGGATTCTGAAAGACTTCTCTACTCTCTTATAATGTATGTCTTACATTATAAAATAATTTGTATAATAATAAAATACTATGTTTTTATGAGAATAAAGATTCTTTTACCCAAAAGAACTTTAAAGTCTAACAAACAACAGTCAATGTCCTAAATATTTCATGCAAGTTTGTTTCGTTCATGGCACATTACTCATGCTACGAAACAAGCCCATTACCAGCGAAGGCATTCAACGTGCCATAACCACAGAAGCGGAGCAACGTTCTTTTAACGTCAAATCAATACATCTTGGCATTTACTTTTCATGTGGACCATAAATAAGTAAGGAGGCACCTGTGTAGGAATGAGAACAAACGTGTAATTGGTTGATTGTATCATAAATTGGATTTTTGATATGAATTTCTGATGGGTATGATGTAAAAAAAGAATTATAGGAAAAAAATCGAGAAGTTAGAAGTCTAGTGGTCCTTGTGAAATAAGAAATTAAGTGTATTTGAGACAAAATAAAAGACTAATAATTTCCAGTCTTTTCTAAAGTATCTACAATTGACATCTTAATCCAGTTTTTCGAGCTTTGTTTAGAATACCAGACTTGGTGGATAATTCACTCTCCTGGTTTAATACCAATGACAATCAGTCACTTGAACTTTGTGCACTGCATAAACAAGGCACTTAAAAATATCAATAAATATTTACTGCATGTTGTGAAAGATAACATTAATTTGTAAACAAATAGGTACATGCAGACTTATTAAAATAAGCTACAGTTATTATTAGGTATTAGATTTACTCAAATATTTTAAGCTTATATTCATTTGGTGAGATTATAGACACACATTTTTATTTATTTATTTTCTAGGTAAAAATAAAGACATCTGAAAATACATCAATGTAATTGAACTCCAATGTTTAAAAGTTGTTTACTTACCTGATAAAACTTTCAGAAGTCAACTTAATCCAACAAAGGAAGACTAATTTACATTTATAAACACAGTTTACTGCGCCAAATTGACCACTTTCGTCCACTGTAATCGTCCGAGATTAAGCGGTAATTTTATTTATTTATTTACAGAGAATTTTGAAGACTAAACATGCAGCGCGTTTGCGTAGTTCAATCGATACAGCAGGCACCAACTCGAGGCAAGACTGACTGCGAACTGCGACTGCGAGCGATGCGACAAAATCGATAATAAAGCCGCCCGCAGGCCGCGTCAGAATCAACAAGTATTCATAAACAAAAAACTCACGTTGTCGCTCGCCTCCGCCGGCGCAAGCCCCAGCATAATTTTCTCCTTCTCAATCTCAAGTCTTTTCACTGCAATTAGCCTTTCTAAATCCACCGTCGATAACATTGTGATCGTGAAACAATACGATTACGAAAGTGAAACTTGGAAGCGCGGGAAATTTGCTGCCGGCTTCAGCAGTACGTTGCGGTTGATAGAAATTATTTATGAAATGGTACTGCTATATTTCTATACAATTTTATTCGAATTGGTGTTTTAAATTCATAAATAATTTAGGATAAATGAATTTAAACAGAATGTAAACAAGACCACCGGTTAACTTTCAAATTTTTGACATACATAACGTCATGTCAGTGTCACTGTCAAGTTTTTTTTTTCCTACCACTCTGTGTCATGGATTGGCGCAAGATCATTTCCCTAATTCTCAAGGAGGGGTCGCAAGTTCGCAACTCGAAACGCAACTGATGAATTGAAAAGTTGAGGTGATGAACCACTGTAATTTTAATACACATTACACAACAGTAAACAGATACCAATCTTTGTGTTTGTGTGATGGCTTCAACTCTCGTTGCGCAACTATAATACCAATAATTTTATCATCATTAATGGTACATGTATTGTAAAAACATCACCTTTCCTTTGTTTATGATTAATTTTATTATTTCTAAAGGGAAGGTAGGGGATGGTACTCAACCTCTGTAATCTTTAGACTTAAAAGACTTGTACCCAGAGCCAGAGCTGTAAAACATCACCACTTAAAAAAATGTGTTATCAGTGACAGTGACATTGACAGATACTATCAGTGGCTTTCTGCAGCTGGTTTTCCTCGATTTTATCGGAGAACTTTTCATTTGAAAAATTGCGGTACCTTTAGGTTAATAAAACTGTCCATAATGCTTAACAACAACATTTAATTTTTATTCATGTGCTTCTTTACTTGCATAGATTTATCATTTTGTTTATTTTTTATATTTTGTAGAATCGCAAGCTCGCAGCTAAGAATGGATTCAGAATACAAAAAGAAAATAGCTGAGCTTAAAAGTAAAATAAAGAGTTTTCCTGACTTTCCTAAAAAGGGAATATTATTTTGGTAAGTATGCAATATTTTCCTCATGTAAACATAACCTTGTAAAAATAACAGATTTTTATTAAAATGTATAAGTCACGTGCTTTATTCGAAGGAATCAATAGATACCGCGCGGGAAGCGCGCAGGCCGCTACCAATCGATCAACATGGAAAGCATTGGGGGAGGCCTATGTTCAGCAGTGGACGTCCTATGGCTGAAATGATGATGAATAGATCCCGTGTGTAGGGTTGCCAGGCGTCCGGATAAAGCCGGACATAGTTAGGCTTTTTGATTGCGTGTCCGGCCAAAATAACCGATGTCCGGCCTGTCCGGCTTTTGTTAGGCTTTTTATTTGGCTGCCGCGCCAGGCGAAAGTCGAGCCACAGAATAAGGCACGCACGCATCAGGACGTTAGGCAACCGATGATGATAGCTCTCACTCGTGAGCTCACTAATTGTCGCATGTCCGGCTTTTAGGGTAAAATGTCCGGCCATATGAAGCACATAGTCCGGCTTTTGTGTTTTTGGACCTGGCAACCCTACCCGTGTGAGATGAATGTAAAATCTGTAGTTGAAGCCAGACAATCATTTTAAATGTTTAATAATTATAACTTTTAGTGATAAAAATACTACAGTCAATTATAAAGTTATCACCGGGTTATCATAAAGTTTTCAAGGGTTCATTATGTTTAACAATGTTATCTATAAACTACAAATAAGTACCTACTACAGTGGAATCTCTATAACTCGAACCTCGTTAAGTCAAAATCCTCAGTAAGTCGAAAAAAATTGCCATTCCCTTCCGCTGAGCACCTAAATACGCGGTACCTCGAATTATTTAGACTTTGTAACTTTGAAACTGTTATTTCCCTACGAAGTATTGATGATACATATTTATACTCTTTAACTCGAAAAAAAAAGGGGACTCCGTAAGTCGTAGTTAGTAAAATATAATAACGTCTTACTTGGAATTCCCCGAAATAATAGCAATAAAATCCAAAATGAATGTTCGGGTTCGGGGCTTCTAATCTATTGTTTTTGTCTTGTACACGTGCAATGAAAGAATACATCAATGAAACTTTCTAAGTAACACAGCTGTGAACGTGATGTTTGTCCTTGTCGCCACAGGACACGATTACTTAAAGCGGAGCTTGTCCGTCCTCTACAAGTCGAAATTTCAGCAGTTAAGTCCTTGTATCTCGAAGTTCTTGTTAAGTCGAAAACTCGTTAACTCGATTTTTTTTGCATTTCCCTTGAGATTCGAGTTATAGAGATTCCACTGTACATATAAAACTTGTTATTAATTTTCAGGGACATATTCTCAGCAATCTCAGACGGCCAAACCGCCAAACTGCTCCAGAACTTGCTCGTAGAAACCGTCAACGCGAAATTCCCACAAGTGGAAGCCATCATCGGTCTGGAGTCCCGAGGCTTCCTGTTCTCATTTGCCCTGGCAGCGGAGTTGGGAGTGGGCTGCGTACCGGTCAGGAAGAAAGGGAAGCTCCCCGGAGATGTTGCCTCGTATAAATATGATTTGGAATATGGATCGGTTAGTATTCGAAACAATTCTTCTAAAAGTGATGAATATTAAATATGAATTGATATAATTATGTGTCTATGAATATTTAAATGCAATTTTACAAATGATACAGGTGGTTATGTGGTTTTGTAAGATTTTCCTGGAAAAGGATAGTGCCAGGGTCTGGACCAAGTGCTGCCCAGAATCAACCCATAGTGCATTTTGTTCCTCAGACCAATACTAATGTGTAAACCAAAGCGCACTGCAATATATCCCTGGAGTTAAGAGAAAAAAAGAGTTTTGTTTTGAAATATTTACATACAAAATATCATCGATATACGTACTATGCATAAGATTTCGTGATTTTGGCATTAAATAACACTCGCTATGTTGAACTTAACCATACTGCATCCGTACACCTTACTTTAGTGCGACTTAGACATTCTTTTTAAGCGATCTAGCGCTGTTGCAATAGTTTGGTTAGTTGACAGAAATCATTATTTTCAAAATGAAGCAAGAAGTTTTAGTTCTCTATCCTTGCGAAAAATCAATTTATTGGTGTATTACAATCGATTATTGAAGTTATTGTAAGCTAAAACTTCTTGCTTTATTTTGGAAATAATTAATTTCGGTCAACTAACCAAACTACTGCAACAGCGCTTGATCGCTTATAAATAATGTCGAAGTCGTACTAAAGTAAGGTGTACGGATGCAGTATGGTTAAGTTCAACATAGCGAGTGTTATTTAATGCCAAAATCGCGAAATCTTATGCGTAGTAGGTATACATCGATGATACTTTGTATGTAAATAATTCCAAACAAAACTCTTTTTTTCTCTTAACTCCATGGATAGATTTCAGTGCGCTCCGGTTTACAAATTAGTATTGGCCTGAGGAACAAAATGCACTATAGTTTCATTCTGGGCAGCACTTGGTCCAACTTCCATACATGGATTGGCACTGTCCTTTGCATTCAATTTGTATTTCCTGTTATGATGCAGTATTTTAAAGGAAATAACATTGCCTTTAAATCTTAGTGATTCTAGTTATCTTTATTAAGATCTATTTCACTCTAATCCAGACTTAGATTGGTGTGTCAATACATAAGTTACTGTTTCACTAAAATTGTTACATACAAACTAGAAAATAACCCACATCTGTTTATTTTTCCAGGATATTTTAGAAATCCAGAAGAACACAATCCAACCTGGACTCAACTGCCTCATTGTTGACGACTTAATAGCCACTGGTGGCTCTCTGGCTGCTTCCATACATTTGCTCAAAACCTGCGGTGCCAATGTTATGGGCTGTTTGACAGTCATCGAACTGGAATCTTTGAACGGACGCAAGAACATTCCAGACGGTATACTGGTACATTCCTTGATTAAGTATGATTAGCTAGTCTAGATCTAAGCACAAAAATTGAAACAAAATGACATGAAACCAATTAATTTGTAAATTGACTGAGAAGTCTTCTCTGAGATCAAAATCAAAATCAAAAATATTTATTCAGTTTAGACCACAAGTGGCACTTATGAACGTCAATAGAAAATAATAAAAAAAGAAAAGGTAGCCCTTATGGGGCACTTTACATGTCTCCTTATCTTTTGGGCCCTACCAGCGCTTCGAGACAAACATATGGCAAGTGCTGAGAAGAAACATTAAGCGAAGTGAATTTACTCAAATAGTGCAAGAGCCCCAATGATTTATGAATGTTTTATGGCCATATTCAGTGAAAAATCTAATAAATAAGCAATATCAAATAACTTTTATATTCATAGTTGGAAAAAAATATTAATTAATTCAACTAGGTCTGTAGGCCTAGGATGCGCGCCGCGATAAGAGTTTATCGCGCCATTTTATCGATTTTACGGGATAAGCCCATACATTTGTCGTATCAAATCATCGACAATATTTTATCACGGCGCGCATCCTAGCCCGGCTGATTTCCACCAAAGCGGAGCGGAGCAGAGAAGTGTGTTAAATAACCAATCAGGTTTCATTATTTCTACTTCTCGTCTCCGTTCCGCACAGCTCCGCTCTTCCTATGCTGTCAAATTGTATAGAAAATGTTAACGGCTTGGCACTTCTCCGCTTTGCTCCGCTTTGGTTGAAACCGGGCCTTAAAGACCAAAGATCTGGCTATAGTAAAAAAGGATTATTATTATTTTAAATTAAAAAAAATACTGGCAAGTCCAGTGTTTGTGTCTGTCCAAAAAAGTAAGTTTTTTGTTGTATTGACTGTAAGATATGCACAAGCATTTCTACCTGACTCAACGGTGTCTATTATCAGCAAATCGAACGCACAGCGTTGAATAGAGCTCTGTGATTGGTTCGTGTGTGACTGTGCGTTCACGCGCACTGTGAGACCTCATAGTAATGTTTGTGAATACGGGCGTTTAGTGTGTAGTCAATTACCTAGTCACCATAGTACAAACTAAGTTTGTGACTAGACTGGTGCTGTATCGTTTATTATTTTACTGTCATTATTTTGTATTTTAGTTAACATTTTATAAAGAATGTGTTTAAGCATAATAAGCTGTTTTAGCCAGTATATTAATGTACTTTGTGTATTGTGAATGTCACAAAAAGTTGATATTATCAAAATGGCAGCTAAGGCCTAACCAGTGCAACAAATAATGAGTTGGATAAGAGTCTACCAATATTCAGTTCATAATGAGAGCTAACTCAGTCGTCCATAAAGTTGGTGAGTGCAATTGCGATAGTCCTGTCGCTGCATCGTTCATCAGTTGGCGTCACTGTCTTTGCCATTATCGAGCGACAAGATTTTAGGTACTACAGTAGCGCCAACTAGTGAGCGCAAAAATCGTAGCACTTATTGGGAGGCAGATTTTTAATCTATATGTCACCGTAATATTGTGAACTAGCTTTCCGCCCGCGGCTTAGCCCGCGTGGAATTTTGTCTGTCACAGAAAAACTTTATCGCGCGCGTCCCTGTTTCAAAAACCGGGATAAAAACTATCCTATGTTCTTTCCCGGGACTCAAACTATCTCTATGCCAAATTTCATCAAAATCGGTTGCGAGGTTTAAGCGGGAAAGCGTAACAGACAGACAGACAGACAGAGTTACTTTCGCATTTATAATATTAGTTGGGATTCCGTCAGATTATAATCTCGACGTAGTTAAATTACAATCTAACCTAACCTAACCCACTGTTAGTTTACAATCTAACGCGTTATATTATAAACTGACAGAGTTCACAATTTCACGTTGACATATCTATATCTATCTATATAAATAAAAATGAATTGATGTTCGTTAGTCTGATTAAAACTCGAGAACGGTTGGGCCGATTGAGCTGATTTTGGTTTTAAAATGTTTGTCGTAGTCCAGGGTAGGTCTAAACGGTGAGCAAATACGCGCGCGACATTGTTTTTCTGTGACAGACAAAATACCACGCGGGCGAAGCCGCGGGCGGAAAGCTATTTATCAATAAAATGTAATTATCATGTCTAGTGCTTAACTGAGTCATTGCCTGAGGTATGGGAGCGGCACGGGGGGGTTTGGGTTTTTGTGACGTCAAACGTCAGCGAGACTTCAGTGGGTCTAGACAAAGTGCAAATTTTAATCGCAAACCAGTCGAAAAGTGGTCGAAAAGCCCCTTTTTTGTATGGAGTTTTGACGGATTCGATTTTCGATTCGATCAAAAAGTGCGTTTTGTCTAGGGGGGCTGATCTTCATATTTTGTTTGCCGTGTCACGTCATATGATGATGACCCACGCTGAACTGTCCCACCTAACTCAATGACAGGGGGCGCTACCATCGTTCAACTACACTCAACATCAAATAAACCGCACCTTCCGCGACGCGAACTTTAAAGATTTTCTTCTGACACAATCATGGTACCCCAACAATATTGGTGTTATTTGAAAGCCCAATAAATATCCTTAAAGAAAAATACATTTCATTTCTAAATAAATGATTAACATACCATAAATGTGACTTAAAAATAGACCTCAGATTGGGCTCACCTCTGGGATCAATTAGACCAATTTTAATGGTTATAAAACCAAATAAAGATCTCACGTGTCCTCTTTAACAGATGGATAGCGATTAATCCCAACTTAACAGTTTTATAGTCATAAAAAATGGCTATAGCGTAACTACCTATTTTTTGAAGAAGTGACTCTGGATCCTTGTAAAGACACATTTTTGGGGTAAAAACCTTTCCTTTAATGAAATGAAGTTTAGAACTAGGCTTTCAAATGGTACCAATGTTGGTGGGAAGTGAGGATGCATACGTTTGATAAGTGCTTGTCGCGGGAGGTGCGATTTATTTGATGCCGAGTGTATATGGTTTCCATCATGGCAAAAATCGGAACCAGCGATCCGGTATTGACGGTGGCGCCCCGCTGTCAATGTCATGGATAGGACAGTTCAGTATATTGGAACTATAATGTTGGTGTCACCTCTCCCTCGGACACTGACTCAGACTCAGACCTATAGTTGACTTAAATAAAATAAAATATTAATAAATGTATAATGCAAGCATTTAATGCAACTGATGTTTATACCAGCGATAGTTTATAATACGAAAGCCATTCCATTACAGGTTGTTTTTATTGTTAGGTTTTTGAAGATATTCTTTAATAAAACAGAGTTTTACATTTATAGTTTTATTGGTTTTATTTAATGCTATAACTTCCTAAAAGCGAGTTAACATACATTGTTTTATAAGGAAAATAAAATAATGTAAGAGCTAGGCACAAAACTTCACAGCAACAATACTAACCAAAATTAAATGTTAAATTACAAAGACTACTGTATATTCTAATTTCTATGGCAAAATAACTTATTGAATAGATATCACAGGTTTCTGTTCAACAATAGTGGAATTCTGTTCTCCCAACACACGGGGCACATTTTTTACATCTTTATCTTTCTGTTCTGTTGTGGTAGTTTTATCTTCTGTTTCCCTCTTGTTTTGTGACTTTTCTGTTGTAGGTACTACTGTAGATGTTCCTTGGTTGGCATAAGGTAAAGGTACATTTACTGCTGGGAGAGTCTTAGATAGGTCACCATTGGCAGAGTTTGGTGTCAGAGATTTTGCAGTTGTTGAAACCTTTTTGTCGTCATCACTTTCGTTTACATCGCGTGCGTTTCTTTTTTCCTCCTGATCATTGCTTGATGGTGTTGGCAGGTTGATATTTAGCCTTGGCACTTCCCAATGGGGGCCTGTCGTGTAGCGGATTGTGTCTTGCCTTGGAGTTGTGGATGATGGCAGATCCTTTGCACTTGTACTGTGTTTTGTGTTTTGTTCACTTGTACTGTTTTCATTCACCGCACCACGAGTAAATCTGGAGTTGTCGTCGTTTTTGGTTGATTCCGTTACTTCTTGGTTGTTGCTAGGAGTGGTAGATGTTGGGTCAGATCCTTCTGGAGTTTCACTGGAAACGATAGGGCCACTGGTTTTTAGTTTATCATCAACGTTTTCAGTAGTTGAAGCTTCGGTTGATCCGGAGTTCTGACCAGTTGTAGACTCAACTTTCTTCGAATCTTCAAACGGCGTAAGTGGTAAATCCTCACTAGGATCTTCAGGATTTCTTTGCTTCCTCACTTGGTTTTCGGGAACGGAGTAAACTTCGATTTGGAAGTCATACCCTCTGAGTACGGTAGGACTTTTGAGCTCGATTGTGACGTTCTTCTGTCCCTCTCCTCCTTCAAGGATTTTCGCATCCCCGTCCTTGTTTGGTCTGAGGTCGGTTATGGCCACTCGGCTGATGACTTCGGCATCAGTCGTGTTGATTGTTAGCGATTCCGTTTGCCGCCAAATCGTGGGGCTGGCATGGCGGACTTCGTCGAAGATTTTTCGGCCCTCTGTGCTATTCCCAACTATGACGTCGTGGCTTTGGGCCAACGCCACCAAAGTTAGTAATCCCAAGTAGCTCCACATGTTTCTGATGCTCTGGATAGACTGACGATATTCGTCAATGTCCAACTTTATATAGGGCATCCAGGTTGAGGAAAATTTTGCCTGACTAAGCATTTAATGAGTAACATTTGTATATTTTTTATAAGTGTAGCGCTTTATGATAATGTCTTCTTACGTACAGGAAAATTTGATGACAAAATAGTGTACAGTCAGGCGGATAAATACCTACTTACCTATGATGAACTTTGACTTAATATTTGTTGATTGCGTTTGGCCCATTAAGTCACTGTTTGTGATAGGTAGGTCTGATTAATTACTATGCAATTGGTATTTACGCATACCTAACCTAGCTACCTATTTCAATTTAAATAATGTGGTCTTAAGAAATTAGCTGCAACAAAACGAATGTGTTCTTATAAATAAGAATTGCAAAAAAATGCGACACAAGGTCCTTATGTCGGTAAGATACAAATTCTGTGATGTAGCGTTCGTTACTATGTAAAGCTTTGGTAAAAGCTCGCAAAGATCAAAATAAAACATGCACGTGTTTACACTATCGACATGATATTTTTTGCTGGACTGTACACATCCTATGTGGCAGTAATCTCACGAATATAGGAGCACGCGGCACGCATTAAGATTAGGGATCAACATAACGTAGATTTGGCTTAGCAGGCTTAGCGTAGCCCACCACATGCCTTACATAAGTAGATATTATTCCCAACACTGCGACTCCTGTGTAGGCAGGATCTACAGCTTGACGTGGCTTGACCGACAATAAAACATATTAACTAGGTACTACAAACAAAATGAATTGAATGATTACTGTAGTGTGGAGACTGTACAGTAGGTACCTACAGTAGGTAGCCAAAATCCTCTATACTTATTTACTTCTAGTAAAATTAGAGAGGGTCGCAACTCGCAATTCACGCTCCTGCAATGGAGAGATTATGAGAGATATACAGGATATACTTACTAAAAGATGATGATGATTAGTAACTTGCGTGTTTTCCTATAGTCACTTAGGTACAATTGGTCATTTAATGCCATTTGTACCTAAACTGGTGATACCAATATAGTACCTATGACTATCAATCCAATATCCATCCATACCAAAATGATTCAATTGAATCAATCACCAACACAAAATGGTAGGAAAGTTTTACACGTTGTTACACGTATTTATTTTACTCTGTGGGTGTTGGTTGTGTTCCTAGCACTTTGATGTGATTGTGATCCATCAAGCGATAATGACCCTACTGCCCCTTTCTGTAATGTATCATTTTGTGTGCGTGCGCAAGTGCAGGATAAAGTGCGGAAACACGTAGGAAGATGGCGGTGATACCAATGTCAATGTCGTATTACGCACGTTATAGCTTTGAACTTGATTCATATTTTGCCTTCTTCCGTTTTTTAATAAAACTACCTATAACTTGGGAAATAAAATACTTAATGCTTATTTCCATGAACTCATGTTCCAAAGCTCCGCAATTCTCAATATCTTATAGATAGGTAGGTTGCATCCATAGGGGACAGTTGAAAAAGTTGTGCTGAGCGAGGATCAGAAGATTCTGTTACAACAACATGACGTAAATAGCCTTAATTAGGCCTAAAAGCTTAAAATGTTGACCGGAAATGTAGAATTTTCTCAAACTTCCGGACATTTTGGAGCGGGGTTACAGAATAAATCTTTTACTTCAAGATTGTTTATGTTAGAATTAGTTTAAATGAAAGAGTATTTGGTTAACTTATTTTATTACGTCTTGCACAGGTCAGGTTACCATAGAGAAGAAAGAATATCCATACAAATGTCATCGAGTCTTCTAGCTGTCATTTACAATTTGCACAGTATAAAAATCAATGAAGCCAACATAAAATATTATTATTTCTCAACTTTCTTCACGACCCCTCGATTTAGACCTTATAAAATACAAGTATTGTTCAGTTTAAATCGCTAAATAATACAAATCAACTTGTCAAATAAAGNATTATACAGGGTGGTTATACATATGGAACGATAAGTGATCTCACTCGATTATTTCTAAACTATACAAGATATCGAAAAACTACTTACTGATTCTGAAAGTGCTTCACGAGCTCTTTCAAATGGTACCAATAATAGGTTACAGATTATGGAAACTGGTAACATTGAATTTTTGGATTTTGTAACTTCTCGTTTCCACCCTGTATAATCCGGCTGTATCTCCAGGTCACCTTGATACATTCCATATGAGCTATTTAGGTACATACATTTACCAATTTTGGGGATAAATAGGCATTTTGTATTAGTTTTTGTATAACGCCTGAACAAAAACAAAGGGTAATATTTTGGGNCAAGCTCCAAAACCTTGAAAAGGGCCACCTTAACCAGCATATTCCTGTCAAGCCTCGCGAGTTGGATTCGTCTATCCTTATTCATCCCAGTGCAGCCGTTCCTTTACTACAGTTGCTGCACCTCTTCCTTGACTTGACTGCGTTGCCAAGTCTTACAGCTGGTCCAAGGTTCGACTCCAAAAATCAACAACAGGTTCATATTAAAACGCTGAATTTTGTTTGTTAGTTTGTTTGAACGCGCTAATCTCAGAAACTAGTGGTTTGATTTAAATAATTATTTTTATGTGATCTAGCTCGTAAATTGAGGAAGGCTATAGGATATTATACCATCACGCTACGACTAATAGGGACGAAGCAGTAAAAAAAATGTTGCAAGCACGGGAAATAGTATTTAAAATATTTTCACGCTTAAGAAGTTGATTTTGTGGTGTCGAACCTTGGACCAGGCGTACGGCTAGGCAACGCAGTCGTGCAGTAGGGTACAAGGTAGAGGGGCAGCTATAGTAGATAACACAGAGTCGTTCAGCAGAGTGCAGAGAAGAGGTGCAGCAACCGTAGTTAAGGATGAAGGAGGAACAAGGATAGGTAAATCCAACTCGTGAGACTTGACAGGGATACGCTGGTTAAGGCGACCCTTTTCAAGGTGTGGGACCCTGTGGGTATATTTTCTACTTTGTCGAAGATAAGCACGAGAACAGTTTGTCCAAAACATATGAATTTGGTCTTATTAAATGCAGGATTGAATTTCCTTCAACAGTCATGAAGATCAGTTTTCGATACAGTAAGTCTAGTATGCGGTATAACAATAAAACCTCAAAAATGGCCGAAGTCGAAAACCTAGGATAGTATTAATGGGCAACAAATCATAAAGATAAAAGCAATAAAGATTTGAGTATTGAGTATCATCATCATTTTAGTCATAGGACGTCCACTGCTGAACATAGGCCTCTCCCAATGCTTTCCATGTTGATCGAAAGTTGCACAGCGCNTACAAATGTCATCGAGTCTTCTAGCTGTCATTTACAATTTGCACAGTATAAAAATCAATGAAGCCAACATAAAATATTATTATTTCTCAACTTTCTTCAGTTTACGACTAAGATTTTATACCTAATCCAAAGTCCATTATGCGTGAATGTGTCTGTTTACGTACAAGGAATGCATCATTTGTGGCCGTGGGGTTATGCGGGAGTCCCTTGAATGACGTCAGAGAGTAGGAAACTTATTGGCGCGTGACGTCAGTCTATAGACTACAGGTAGACAAACTTTGACGGCAATAAACAAATAGCACCGATTGGGGATTTTTATTTTGATTTGTCACCTTGGAATATTTTTTTAATTAGTTTCAAAGTGGGGACAAGACGAGTGACGTCAGGGAATAACCACTCTGTGGTCTTAGGCTTAGGTTCAACCTTTCATAAAAAAAACCTCGATGTATCAGCGACGACCGTCACAACGTAAGTAACTAATTGCATTGATTAATGAAAGCGGCTTGTTATTAATGCAATATTGATTATAATTAATTATCGAAGAAAAGGCCGTATGGACTTGGCCCAAAGCCATAAAAACGAATTAAAAAAAACAGGCTAATTCGAAAATGAACTTTTTGGAGCGTTCTAATTTCAAACAATACAAATACTTTTTTTAAAATAATCCAAAAAACAATTTATTCAAATACCACCTCTATCAAAATCACAATAAGGTTCACTTGCAAATCTTGCAATAGTCGGGCTTGGAGCAGGGACAGACCTTCGGCATCTTCAGACCCTGAGCCATCTGCTTCATGAAGGGATGTACTTCATCGCTGAAGAATGGTCTGCGGGGAAGAAAAATGACGATTATTATCCCAACTAATATTTCCCAACTAATATTATAAATGCGAAAGTAAGTCTGTCTGTCTGTCTGTCTGTCTGTCTGTCTGTCTGTCTGTCTGTTACGCTTTCCCGCTTAAACCTCGCAACCGATTTTGATGAAATTTGGCATAGAGATAGTTTGAGTCCCGGGAAAGAACATAGGATAGTTTTTATCCCGGTTTTTGAAACAGGGACGCGCGCGATAAAGTTTTTCTGTGACAGACAAAATTCCACGCGGGCGAAGCCGCGGGCGGAAAGCTAGTTTAACTATAAATAGAGACTACACAAGACAAGAAAATAAATAAATACAAAAGAGACGGAACAATTTAGGCGGTCTTATCGCTATAAAGCGCTCTCTTTCAGATATCTAGGTAGGTTGTCAGTTGTTTAAAAGTTTTGTGTTCGGTAAATTCTATCATCTAGGCTCAAAAGTTGTCTGGGAGAGAATGTCTTTACGTTCACGTTCTGTATTTTTTACGGTCAATGGCTTAGTGAAACGCCGGGAATGCAGTGCAATGGGTTTCAGATTTGACTCCTGATCGATCACCACACCAATACCGAATTCTTTTAAACGTAGGTATGTAGGTACGTATGTATTATGATTGTGCAATATTTAAAAGGTAAAAATTTATTTTATGAACTTACCGGCATAGCATTCTAGCGATTTCTTGCTCATACTCCTGGCTAGCGATCTGGCATTTCTTTATTTGGTCCAGTTCCTCTTGCCTGGCCTTTTCCTGTTTTAGAAAGTAAAATTAAAGAAAACATTAAATAAAAATTTCAATTGAGTCGGTAAAATAGTGACGTCATAATTAAAGCAATCGGCCATCATAGCAGCCGTACAGCAGGGAACTAGAGTACATACGTAGTACTCGCGGACGGCAACAGAGGGCGCTAGGGCTCCGTTGAAAAGCAACCCAGCACGTGCTCGGTTACTCAACAGCATTGGTCCAAGTGTTAACCCCGAGATGTCACTGTGTATCGAGGGGCCAAATCCTGTACCGCGGTGTCCAGATTTTTTTTCCCTAAAAGACCCCCTTTGAGTCAGCCAGCTTCGACATCGCTTCTCGGCCTTTTGGCTAAGATCAAAGTGTAGTATCTGTTCTTTTCAGCTTAATATCTGAAAGTTCCCTCACTGAGGGACCAGTATATTAAACTGATTTTTGTCCTTTGAGAGGATGTTCGGGGCTCGCTCCACTCCTCTCACGGGTCGGCCCGGCATTGCAGTGCCGCCGGGATCGGCCCACATAAAACTTGATAACATTTAATAAAGGAACCGTGATCATGGAACCATCATGGTGTCCTCGAAACCTATACAGGGTGGAATTTTGTAATGCCACTTGGAGGGAAAGTACTGTTTAATACTGTAGATAGAAAAGTTTACTGAAAGAAAACATTCCTTTATTTTTGAAAAGAAAGAACTGCATTCAGATTTTCGACCTTAGATTAATAAAACCTTTCGACACGATTTTTCGAAAATTCACTACAATACATGCAATTTTCTGTACATAATTAAAATAATTTAAGATTTCATGGTTTTCCTTTCATTTGATTAATCAAGTTTGTTAGAGAGATTTCATCCTTCCTTATACTTAACCCTAACGATCAATGCAATAAAAATACAGGGTGTATTTTTAGCAGATTTTAGTTGGTTCGATTCCCGGGTCTGGCAAGCAAATTTTTGGAAATCTTTGAATGCAGTTCTATATCTTTAAAAAAATAAAGGAATGTTTTCTTTGAGTAAAATTTTCTATCTACAATATTAAGAGGACCTTCCCTCCAGGTGGCATTTCAAAATTCCATCCTTTATATGCCAGAGCCTAATTCAGTCGGTAGATTCTCAGTCTAAATTGACAGATACACCTTTGCCTGACAAACCCATCATAATAGTAAATTGGACATTTTGGGAATTGGACATTTTGGGAGTTGGACATTCCGGGAATTGGACGTTTTGAAACCGTTGGACATTTTGGGAATTGGACATTCTGAACCTGAAGGCCTTATGCCACCTGGAGGGTAAATACTCTTAGAAAATTAGAAAAGAAAACATTCCATTATTTTTTAAAAGAAATAATTAATCATTATTTTTTAAACTAACTAAAACCTGTTAAAAATAAAATTACATTCTGTATTTTTTTTTGCATCCATTGTTAAGGTTAAGCAAACTTCATAAATCAAATAAAAGGAAAACCTTGAAATTATTTACAGACAGAATATTGTATTGTACCGGTGCGGTGGTGAAAAATTAAGGAAATCTTTGAATGCAGTTAGCTCTCTTCCATTTTTTCAAATATAAAGAGGAATGTTTTCTTTGAGTAATTTAATCGTAGGTTTAAAAGAAAAAAAAAAATCAGCAAAAAGCCAACATCACGCGGTGTTCCCAGGCGGTCACCCATCCAAGTACTGACCGCGCCCGACGTTGCTTAACTTCGGTGATCGGACGAGAACCGGTGTTTTCAACGTGGTATGGACGTTGGCATCAAAACAGTTGAATAAAATCATGCATTTCGAGTAAAGAAGAACCATAAACTTGTGTGACTGTCTTTCATTCATTCAGAATGTGTTGTTGTTTGCCAAATGCCAACGTCAGAACAGATAAGTTGTCTGCTTGTTACAGCCCGACCTTAGGAGGCGGTGATATTAAACGAGCTTGCCGCTAGGTGTCGCTCCGCGCTGACGAGTGGTTTCTTAGCCCGCGGTGTCCAGATTTTTTTTCCCGCAAAGACACCGCGGCCGCGGCGACCGACGGACAAGACCTTACTTCATAGGATCATTTCTATAGTAAGCTCTTCGCTTGACCTTCACACTATGTGAAACCACCCTTAACCACGTTGATGAGACGTGGCGCGGCGCCCTGAGCGTGAGGCGGGCGGCAGTGTCCACTGCCAGCCCTCGATGATCGTTCGCCCTCCGCTTCGGCGGAGGGGGTGGGGTGTTGTCGCTGTCTGAGTGGTTAGTTTTGAACCCTTTTTTAATACTATTACTAGTAGTGTTGCCGAACTATCGAGAGTTTTCATTCGAAAAAGCCTTCTCCATCGGTAGGCTAAAAAACAAACCGACTCCAAAAAACCTACACTAAAAAGTAGAAAAATAATTACTAATTACTTATTTATTAGGACGAATTATTAATATTTACTTTTTTTGAAGTCGGTTGAAAACGAGGCAATGCTATTAAATATGTGCAATACTATCGATAGTATTATTGCTCCTGAAGAATAAACTATCGATAGTATTGTAGCTTTTGAATAAAAAGCTATCGATACTATCGATTGTTCTAGCTAGACTATCGATAGTTTGGCAATTTACAATAGTATCGTTTACAATATTTGGGTATAATAGTCAAAATAGGCACAACAATAGGGTTATTGGAATACTTGAATTATTTCATATAGTTAACCATAACATTTAATTTTGTTTCCAAAATTGGCAATACATTTTATTTGTCGTAGTTAACTATGCAGGTAGTTTTAAATACAAGTGTAGTTATATGTTTAGTTGGTAAGTCAAGCGAAACATTTGAAATATTGTAAAAATGAATTTCAACATACCCAATAATATTGCTAATTTACAGACTATCGATAGTCTAGAACAATCGATAGCTTTTTATTCAAAAGCGACAATACTATCGATAGTATATTCTTCACGAGCAACAATACTATCGGTATTGCACATATTCGTATTGCCTCGTTTTGAGCTATCGATACTATAGACTATAGTATCGATAGGCCTACCGATAGAGAAGGCTTTTTCGAATGAAAACTATCGATAGTTCGGCAACACTACTAGTAATAGTATTAAAAAAGGGTTCAAAAATAACCACTCAGACAGCGACAACACCCCACCCCCACCCCCTCCGCCGAAGCGGAGGGCGAACGATCATCGAGGGCTGGCAGTGGACACTGCCGCCCGCCTCACGCTCAGGGCGCCGCGCCACGTCTCATCAACGTGGTTAAGGGTGGTTTCACATAGTGTGAAGGTCTAGCGAAGAGCTTACTATAGAAATGATCCTATGAAGTAAGGTCTTGTCCGTCGGTCGCCGCGGCCGCGGTGTCTTTGCGGGAAAAAAAATCTGGACACCGCGGGCTAAGAAACCACTCGTCAGCGCGGAGCGACACCTAGCGGCAAGCTCGTTTAATATCACCGCCTCCTAAGGTCGGGCTGTAACAAGCNTAACAAGCAGACAACTTATCTGTTCTGACGTTGGCATTTGGCAAACAACAACACATTCTGAATGAATGAAAGACAGTCACACAAGTTTATGGTTCTTCTTTACTCGAAATGCATGATTTTATTCAACTGGTTTGACGCCAACGTCCATACCACGTTGAAAACACCGGTTCTCGTCCGATCACCGAAGTTAAGCAACGTCGGGCGCGGTCAGTACTTGGATGGGTGACCGCCTGGGAACACCGCGTGATGTTGGCTTTTTGCTGAATTGTTTTGTTTTCTTATAAGCTTACGATTAAATTACTCAAAGAAAACATTCCTTTATCGCCAATCGATAGTCTTGCGATAGTTTGGCTATCGATAGACTATCGATAGTCGACTATCGATCGGCAACACTAATTACTAGACATAATTTTTGTGGCAATAATTGCCTCCTCGACTCTTAGATTTCTGTACCTATTTGACAGAAATAAAGCTGCATCGAAATATCAGAGGAAGGCGAAGCTTTGCAAAATGTGCACTTCGCAAAATGCACACTTTTCCATACTAATTTTACATTAACGAACTTAATAAAACTGCGAAGTGCATATTCTGCGTCAGACCCGTAGACCCCGTCCTTTTGCATATCTATCAGCATAATGCCGCCATTACACTGCGCGAAATTGATCGATACAGGTTATGAAATAGATGTAAACAAACATGCATTTAATTTTGCACCTGTTGCCCCTCATGTATGTCTATGTAGTAACATATTAAGTAACTACCAAAACACTCGTGTGTAACCAAACCAATGCGTTGAAATATTAACGCTGCAACGACCAACCAACTTGTAGTTGGCTGAACAGTTGTCTATGGTACTCGTTCTCGGCCAAGTAAGACTTACCTTCAACATCTTATTGTATTCAATCTGATCCAGCAAGTTCCTCTGGTGTTGTTTCCGAGTCTGGGCGTCCGTCACATCCTTGTGGGCGGCCAACTCATGGAGTTGAGTGAACAGTTGTCTATGGTACTCGTCCTGTTCGGCCAACTTCTGTTTCAGAACTTCACGAGCGTTCTCCCGGTCTTTGATCTGGTCTATCATCGCTTTGCGGACATCCTGGGGAGAGTAAATACATAACACTGCACATTTTTGATTCGAAATAGCATCTATTGTAAAGTTATAGGATGGTGGTTGTTGGCGACAGATCTGGTAACACCGATGCTAGGCCATGGTCTTTGGACTGTAGCCTAGCAACGGTGTTAGCCATCTTGTTTTTTGGATATAATTCTGTTGCTTTGCCTTTTGTGCTCTGAATACAGTTTCGTATTTATAGCTAAGCATTTTCCATTTATGTAGCTAACAGTAGTACTGTACCAGCTATATTACATACACATTTTAGTGAACACTATTCACTACATTGCATCGTTTTTCAACTTAAATGATACATGGAAATGTACATTAACGCTAGAATTAGGGGGTTGGGTATTTTATGTTACCAAGTACTTTCATCTGTATGAAAATTGGCATAACGAATTGGCCTGGGGTGTGTAGGCCAAATCCTACATTTGCCTAAAATATTCAGAAAGAACCAAGTATGGAATTCGCTTATTTCCCCCTCAATTTAGTATCTTCTTCCATCTCTTACTACATTCAAGAAGAGAGAAGAGTAGTCTTTTTAACCGACTTCAACAAAAGGAGCAGGTTCTCAATTCGGTTGGTTTTTTTTTTACTTTGCCGGAACCACAAGCCTAAAAGTATTCAGTCAATAAACAGAATAGGTGCTTTAGTATGAATTCCAACAAACAAGAGTAAATATTAATCTTCTATATATATAAAAGAAAGTCGTGTTAGTTACTTCGCTTATAACTCAAGAATGGCTGAACCGATTTAGCTGAAAATTGTCAGGGAGGTAGTTTAGAGCCAGGAGAAGGACATAGGATACTTTTTATCCCGTTCGAAATAAAAAAGTCTGCTTATTTATTGACATTAAGGCGGAACAAAGTTCGCCGGGTCAGCTAGTTTCAGAATAAATCGTCAGTTATTCGACATTTTGACATATTTCTCATACCTACTGAAACTGTCAATGTGCCCGTTAAACCGGGAGCTTAGATTAATAAAGCCCCGGGAGCTATTCTTGGATAAAAGTTTGGTCGAATCGGGCCTTAAAAAGCCTTTTGCAAAAATATTTATGACTTATTATACCCGGTTAGTCTTCTGCGCCCACGCCAGATACTCGCATCGCTTCTTATCCAACTTCTCCTGTCTTCTCCAGGCTTCTTCCTCGAACAGCGCGTCGTCAGCTGATTCTAAACGAATCATCTCTTCGCGGAGCTCCGCCATCTTTTTGTTGCAGGCGTCTAGGTCTCTCTGTGTAATTGAATGAATGTTAATTGGTTTTCGACTTTATGATAAGTGAATTAAGGTTCAAATTAGAACGGCTAGGCCGATTGAGCTGATTTTGGTTTTAAAATGTTTGTCGTAGTCCAGGGTAGGTCTAAACGGTGAGCAAATACGCGCGCGATATTGTTTTTCTGTGACAGACAAAATTCCACGCGGGCGAAGCCGGAAAGCTAGTATATATATGAATAAAAATATCCAAAGACATACATTTAGTCCCAAAGCTGTAGTAACATGATATCAGACAAGATTTTTTTTTTCAAATAACACCAAATCCTCTATGATCGGCTTAGTTTTAGTTTTCTACCTTTTGCGATCTAACCTCTTTAATCTCCTACACACTATCATACCTCTTCCTCCTTCTTAATTCCCTCTTTAGTCAAGTAGGTACGCGACATACCCACCCAGTCTGTGATCGTCAAAGTTTTAGCTTTCTGACTTTTCTTTTGACCGAGTTGCACCACCTAACTTTGACCGTAACTAAAGTCCGAACGCCGAGCAGACTCACTGCGGCCGCCCGTCTCACAGTCGCGACAGCAATATAATTACGCGCGAGCGATAAGTATGGGTAGTTTGGGGTCATTGGACGAAATTGTACGTGCTCGGCGACCGGACTTTTTACTTTGCTTTGAAAAACGTCAAAAATCTGTCAAACTCCATACAAAAAACACCGGTTATCGTTATAAAGTCCGGTCGCCGAGCAGATAGAATTTCGTTCAATGACCCCAAGCTACCCATCCTTTTCACTCGCACGTATTATATTGCTGTCGCGCTCGCACACTCACTGCGGCCGCCCGTCGCACAGTCGCGACCGGACTTCACTAGAGTCCAAAAATAATGAAAACTCCTGGACTTATTGTGGCGACATCTACGATACGCCACTACAAACGTGTAGCAACAGATGGCGCTGTTACGACTGCACTACGCCACACTCCGCCGCTCATACAAACCTGCATCGCGGTGACGGAGTTTTTTACCCTGCCAAGTACATATAGACAAACCAAGATGGTGTAAATTGGACCTTGGTCCCCGAGCACAACACCCGCTCGGAAGGAAGCACTAACATCTAGCTTCCTTATTGTGGTTGAGCATCATATCCCACATTATCTTACCTCCTTCCTCCTTCTCAGTTCTTCCTTGTCCCTCTCCGCCTGTCGTCCCTGGCCAGCAAGCGAGTCACACGTGTCTGTGATAAGTTGGGCCTCAGCTTTCTGCCTGGCCACGACTTCGCTTGTTCCACAAACTTGCGAATGTTGCTTGCGTTTGAGCGTTACTCCCTTGTAAAGTCCGGTCGCCGAGCAGATAGAATTTCGTTCAATGACCCCAAGCTACCCATCCTTTTCACTCGCACGTAATTATATTGCTGTTGCGCTCGCACACTCACTGCGGCTGCCCGTCGCACAGTCGCAACCGGACTTCACTGAGTCCAAAAATAATCAAAACTCCTGGACTTATTGTGGCGACATCTACGATACGCCACTACAAACGTGTACCAACAGATGGCGCTGTTACGACTGCACTACGGCACACTCCGCCGCTCATACAAACCTGCATCGCGGTGACGGAGTTTTTTACCCTGCCAAGTACATATAGACAAACCAAGATGGTGTAAATTGGACCTTGGTCCCCGAGCTCAACACCCACTCGGAAGGAAGCACTAACATCTAGCTTCCTTATTGTGGTTGCGCCATGAGCATCATATCCCACATTATCTCACCTCCTTTCTTCTTCTCAGTTCTTCTTTGTTCCTCTCCGCCTGTCGGCCCTGTCCGGCCAGCGAGTCCCACGTGTCATTGATGAGCTGGGCCTCAGCCTTCTGCCTGGCCACGACTTCTTGCCGTTCCTCGATCATCTTCTTCCGCTCCCTGGCCGTTTCTAGACGCTGCTCGGTGCGTTGACGTTCGGCTGTAAAGCAAAGGAGTTATTTACTGTTAACATACGAGACAGAAGTTGATAACTAGGTAATATGGACTATTAAACTGTTAATCCTGCCTGAACAGAACTGATGGCGTGGAGTGGAGGCCGCGTACCGGAAAACGCAGCGTGGGACTCCCACATAAAAAAAAAGCGCTGGACGCAGGCCGCTACCAACCGGGTAACATGGAAAGCATTGGAGGAGGCCTATGTCCAGCAGTGGACGTCCTATGGCTGAGATGATGATGATGAAACTGTTAATAAGTAGACAACTCACAAATGGCAATGCCAGATTTTGTATGGAAAGTGGCGTCTTTTTTTTTTCGCGCGGCCATCGACCAAACTTTGTTTTTTGATTACAAAATAGTGTAATAAACCAAACTTACTATGACATGTATACCTCTAAACTCAGTCTGAACTGAGTTACGAGCATTAGAAGTTTGATGATTTTCATACTAGATTTGCTTTTTGTGCGCAAGTTTTGTAAGAAATTGCACTTCTTTCTGTAGGTATAGATATGGTAAGTCTCATCCAAAACTCACCATCTTCTTCCTTCTTGATCTCAGCGTCCCACATGGCGCGGAATCGTAGTGCCTCCTGCTTCAACATCTCCCGTTCTCTCTTTCATGCAGGATCCTTCTCTATTCAAGTTGCTTGTCTGTGTACATCTTGCATTCGTAGTAGGGTAGGATGATGGATAGAAGCACACAGTTCGTAGAACTGATGGCCGTTGGGGCAGAAATGTTCTCGAGTGGCGACCACGAAACCAAAAACGTAGGCAGTTCTCTCAGTCAGTGGACTAACGATTTGGTGAAAATCGCAGAAAACACCTAGATGCTGACAGCCTGACAACGCTGGACCAGTATTTGTAGAAATCCGTGGGAGAGGCCTTTATCCTTTGTTGTGATTGAAAGGAACTAGAAACGAGGGTATAATTAAAAAAAAATCCTGTCTAAACTCACCATCTTCTTCTTTCTTGATCTCAGCGTCCCACATGGCGCGGAATCTCAGTGCCTCCTGCTTCAACATCTCCCTTTCTCGCTCACGCTGGATCCTTCTCTGCTCAAGTTGCTTGTCTGTGTACATCTTGCATTCGTTGTCTTTGCGCAGACGCTCTATGGCGTCTTGCTCCATGCGGGCCGCCTGTGGTGGAGAAAGATTTTGTTTTGAATCATTATAAAAACATTATATTTTGACTATTTTTGACCTTGCTAAAGTGAGTATAGACTAGACTACTAGAGCATTTACTTGTAACAGAACGAGACGCTCTATGGTATGTTCTAGTGAACAAAACGTCGAGGATTTGATATTAGAAGCTGACATCAGGTGGATAAAAACAGAAGTAATGTTCTTTGATGCTTTTTCTTACATCCACAAGTGGATCTCTTTATCATAAGTTGAATTGGATGCAATAACATTGAATACTTATTTACTCAATGGTTTAAACTAGTCTATTAAAGCAGGCTGGAAAATATGAAAAAAAAAAAAACATTTCTACGTGGTTCGTTCATTTCAGCCGAATAAAGGCCTCCTCCCCCAATGATTTCCACAAAGACAGGTCTCGAGTGTCAATTATGTGTGATGATTTAGTATATAAATAAATAATAAATAAATAAATTATTTATTGACATAGTGTTACACTAAAACATGTGTATGTGTGTTCAAAATACTGACCAAGGCATCAGACTCCTTCATAGCGACCTCGTGCCACATCCTGTCGAATTCCTTTTCAGCCAGCTTCATGGCTTCCTTCTCCTTGATCTGGTACAGCTGGATCTCTTCAGCTTCTTTAGCTCGCAGCTTGTAGATGCAGGGTAATACGTGGACGCATCTGGAGCTGATGGTGGAAGGAAGAGAAGACTTTAGGGCGTTTGATTTAGAACACAAAATACACATACACATTCTTTTGTTCCTTCACAGATTCTTTCTTTTCTGCCTCTTACCTTAGAAGGAAGTTGATTGAGAAGAAGAAGAGACAAAACCTAGGTCTATCCTCCAAGGATATACCTATGTTGTTCAGGTTTCAGAAACCATTCACACTTCTAGTGTTTTTGGAGCCAAGAGCTGCATCTCGCCTGATGGAAAGTGATGCATAGGTCGAAGGTGGAAGCAAATTTCACCCGGAATCCTCAACCACAGATGAATTGGCTATCGTACCTCGAACTGCCATACACAAAGAACTGGCTATCTTACCTTCAACAGCCAAATGTTGTTATGGCGACAGACTTACTTCTTTCACGCTTTCTGCTCGACAGAGTTAGAGTAGGCGCACACCGTTGATTTTTCTTCGGCCGATAGTTTAGTCGGGCAGTTGATCAGTATGGGCATGTATGGGAGTGCGCACACTACGCCGATTCGATTTGGCCGATTCTTCATACAATTTAAAATCGGGCACAACTATCGGCCAACTAAAAATCAACGGTGTCCTACTCTTACGACTGGTGCTCTGTGTCTGACTTACCTTATTTTGAAGGTAGCTACGAGTAGATGTTCTGCTCGCGAGCTATGTTTTCTAAAGCTACCCTACAACTCACAGCGGCGTGTCCTTGTATCTCTCCTCGTGTTCCTTCTTCCGCTTGGCGATGAGGTACGCCAGGCGATCCTTCTTGTCCTGCCACAGAGCCTCGGCGCCCGCTTGGGCCTGTTCGACGAACTTGCGAATGTTCGCTTCCTCTTCTACCGCGAATAGGTCTACTAATCTGCAAGCAGAAGTAAAGGTCTGATTGTTACATTTAACACTACTTAACGTAGGTACATTAAATTGTCATAACAGTCCTTCTAGACAAGTTACAAAATGTGACAGTTTTCGAAATCGCTTCATGGAGAGAAGTACCGAAGCGAGGGCTCCGACGTTTTTTTTTCAATGTTAGAATTCGGAATTACAACGGTCACTTTTTGTAATATTTATCTAGGAGGCACGTACTCTTTAAATTGAAAGATAGAAAGAAAAATTTAAGTTATTTGACATGTACCTAGGTAATTCGAGTGATAAGAGCGGGCAACAAAGGCGCGCGTAACCTAATAATAAAAAAACCTTACCTCTTTCTTTTCTCTTTCAGATCTTCTTGGTACGACTGCATGCAGAGGTCCACGCGACGAGCTACGTTGTTTATAAGAGATCTGTCGAAGATTAAATACACTATATTAGTTTTTCTTTCACTCCTCTTAACATATATAAACCTAAAAGGTTACAGGAAGGCGTTGGATGCAGACCGCTAGCAACCGGCCAATTTGGAAATCATTGAAGGAGGTCTTTATTCAGCAGTGGACTGGACTCCTTTGACTGAAATGATGATGATGTAATAAACAACGACAACGTTCGCAGTACTTTCACACACCAATGTGAATATTATTTTTAAATAATTATCTACTATGTATTCCTATAGACTAAAATGTAGGTATCGACAGGCCTCCAACAATAGGTGGACCGACGATTCGGTGAAGGTTGCAGGCACCGCAGGACCGGTCGTTGTGGAAATCCTTGAGGGAGACCTTTTTCCAGCAGTAGACTGGTTGTCATTTGACTGAAACGAACGAATGTATTCCCAACACACCGATCTTGTCGCGACAAGGAAAAATTTCCGTGCTTTTAAGCGATTTTGTGAAAAATATTATTGGCAGGTAGTTGCTAATTGCTCATAAGATAGGCCCCCTTAATTTAATTTATTGTCCGTGGTGCATAATCTTTTTCTTAAAAGTTTTAAACCTTTGTTAGTCACCTGTCATCCGCTTTGCAATGGAGGGAAGTCGAACCTTAATTTCGAACTCCTCCTATGTTCTTCTGATTAATTTCGTTGCGGGTCCAATGACAGTTTAACTTTCCCCCGGGACAAACTTGACCTTCATTGGTTGGGTTTTTGTGGCGGTCAAGCTGTAGATCCTGGCTACACAGGAGTTGCAGTGGTGGGAACGAGAGGTGGGAATAGTCCCGTGAATGTATTCCCATGTTACCTTCGATCGCATCTGATGAAGAAGTCACTGCACTGTTTGTCTTTCAGCTCCTTGAGTTTGTTCTCCGCGCCCTTCCTCTGTTCTTCCTCAAGTGCCCGCAATTTCTTCACAAACTTCACGTAGCGGAACGTCGAGTTTAGGACTCGAGACGTCTGTAGATGGTGAAAGATGATTGTGTAACAAATGCAGTAATATTAAGTTTATAATAATCCAAACGAATCTAAAACTATTTTGGCTTAGAGATGTTTTTAAAATGCTCCTTCTGATCTGAGCTTTAAGTCTATGCAGCGGACTACAATACTTACAATAATTCCCTGAACAAATCATAAAAATACTGTTTTAGATGAATTAAGAGTAGAAATATCCTTTTCGTTACTTATTCGACTTTAAATCAAGTAAAGAATGATTACATTCGATCAGTCGACTTTGAAAACCACCTTCAAGTGGCGCCAAACGTTGGTAATTTTCATACAAACTTTATTGAAGGCATCAAAGATGTGAATTCCCATATACTTAAACAATAGAGGAGCAGCATTTTGGACGCTAGACTATTTGCGTCAAAATCATTCCCTACCACGTAGGCACAGTACCTACAGCAATCCTTGTTTTCTAAGATATGGGCCTCTTTTAAAAGTCGCGCGGGGGCTCGCACGCGATTCTGTATCGAAATTAAGTATGAGCAAGGCACGAAGTTTTTGCGAAAGCCCTAAGGAACCTGAAAGTGGCGGTGTTCGTTACGATCTGTCAGCGCAAACTGTCAGATTCAACTTATCTGCGCAGGTGTACCTTCAACTTTAAACTCACACATCCAAGCCGCGTCCTGCAGGGCTACTCGGAAATGCTGTTTACGTAGTTTCGGGTCTTCTGTCACCGTCACTCATGCTGGCATCTCGCATAACGTGAAGTGGATGGCAACATTCGAAACTTCGGATAACGTTTTTTGGAGTAACCCCCCTGTATACAACAGCCTCGAAACACACAGCCAAGACACGCCCTCGGTCGACCCTCCCAAAATAACGTCCTTGGTCGAGGACACTTGCCCTTACCGGGGCCCTTACTCGAGGATACGGCCTTCATGCAAGGCTACAGCCTTGGTCCAAGGATACGTCCTTGGACCAAGGCTGAATCCTTGAAGCGAGGCCGAATCCTTGGAGCAAGGCTGCAATCCTTGGAGCGAGGTCAAATCCTTGAAAGCAAAGCCTTGAGAGAAGGCCGAATTTTTGTCCGTGAACTTTTGGAAGTTGGTTTACGAATTGATGACGTAGCCGATTGTTACGTATAAGAACGGTAAAGAATTGAGAAATGAATTATATTTTTTTCTGAAGATTATGTTTAGTGCTTCTTGACAACAATTATTTTAGTTAGAAAATTTTATCATTCAAGACCGAAAAATAATAAAAGCTTGCTTATATTGTAGCTTACTGACGCTCAAAATCATCATAGTTCTTCATTGCGCTAGATAGTTTTTTGGTACACTGCTAACAAGCTGTGTTTGTTAGGTACTTACAATGTCCACCATAGCCGAACGGTGAAGGGGTCGGACTGGCCGACTCGTGATCCGGGGTGCGCGGGTTCGAATCCCGCCGCAGCTCGACTATTGTGGTGAGCCAACTTAGTACACTACTAACAAGCTGTGTTTGTTACTTACAATGTCCACCATAGCCGAACGGTGAAGGGGTCGGACTGGCCGACTCGTGATCCGGGGAACGCGGGTTCGAATCCCGCCGCTGCTCGACTATTGTGGTGAGCCAACTTGGTACACTACTAACAAGCTGTGTTTGTGACTTATAATGTCCACCATAAGGCCATAGCCGAACGGTGACTAGGGGTCGGACTGGCCGACTCGTGATCCGGGGAACGCAGGTTCGAATCCCGCCGCTGCTCGACTATTGTGGTGAGCCAACTCGTGACACAAGCATATTTCTACTTAAGGTACCACCTTAATATCACCCACCCAGCTCTTCCCAAGAAAGTCGTAACAGATTAAAAATTATCGAACATCACGCCTCCGTAACCGGTCTGGCCAGCGTAGGGAGATCATAAGTGCCACTTGTGGTCTAAACTGAATAAATATTTTTGATTTTGATTAGGCCAAATCCTCCATTTTGTCATCATCATCATTTCAGCCACAGGACGTCCACTGCTGAACATGGCCTACCCCAATGCTTTCCATATCGCCCAGTTGATCGTATCGTAGGTCCACCTTGCGTCTCTGTCCCACGATGCGTTTTCCGGTACGCGGCCTCCACTCCAGAACCTTGCTGCCCCATCGGCCGTCAGTTCTGCGTACTATGTGCCCTGCCCATTGCCACCAGCTTGCTAATCCGTCTGGCTATGTCAGCAAGTTTAGTTCGTTTACGGATCCTCCATTTGCTTCTGGTAAATCGACAAGAGTCGTTTTCCTGCAGTGGAGCTTTATATGACCTGACGAGCTTTATCTACTATATAAAAATAAGCCGGGTTTTCCTTCCTGACGCTATAACTCCAGAACGCACGAACCGATTTCCACGGGTTTGCATTCGTTGGAAAGGTCTCGGGCTCCGTGAGGTTTATAGCAAAGAAAATTCAGGAAAAATTTAAAGGGGATAAAACGGGATCCACGCGTACGAAGTCGCGGGCGGCCGCTAGTATAGTATAGATGATGACTGTATGACTTACATAGTAACAATCCGGCACCCCCCTAGGCCCGGGGCCGTCTTTAGGTATCTTCTGCCGTGGAGGCTGCGGCGGCTGTGGAAACATTTCTATTCCGATACAAAAGTTGTAGATCAACACAAAAAATATTTTTATTTACATTGACTCGTGTCAGAATTAGAAAATCTGTTTTGACATTCAAAAGATAGATTTTTTTACTTGTCATTGGTATTAGCAAATAATATCATGAAATGAAAAAGGTTTCACTTTACACTGCAAAGTATTTATTAACCCCTGGGCCACACACATCGTGATAACCTGAAGATTCTATCGTGATGTGTGTAGCCAAGACTTCGGTGCCTTTTACATAGTAGCAAGACTTCGCTCCGCTGTTGCCCGAATGTTATCGTTATGTGTGTGGCCCAAGGGTAAGAATCGATTGATGATTAAGTTTTTTAATTTGGAATCAATTAAATATTTTGTCTCTCTCTTTTATAAGTGTTAAGCTTTATAATAAGAACTGTGATAGTTATTGAAGCTCTAATAAAAATTGAACTGTATGTGACTTAATTATTGTTACTATTACTTATTCTGTGTTATTGTTAAATGTAGGTAGTTAATTTGAAAGTAAAACTACTTATATCCGTGATTGAGCTCTTTTATTCAATTAATCAACTATACAGATCTACGTTTCTTGTACGATCAACAAAACTATTTACAAACAATTTTAAAGATTAATCAAAAAATCAACAAATGTAAGAAACACATTTTAATGTATGCTTTGCATATCTTTAACTACGTCGTTTACTTAAAACTATTGGTTGATTAACAAAATTACGTTATAAATATTTGTGATATCACAATATAAGTGATGAAACATATAAAAAATCAAAGTTTAAACAAAAAGAGTAAGTGCTCCTATTTGGTACAAAATATTGATTACAAACCATAACAAAATGGTAAAAACTAAAAAATAAAACTCTCGAACATGATCATAAAATTATAAAAAATCAACAATCTAGAAATAATATGGCACTTATTTATTTAAGTAGTTAAATTACTGAAACAATCTAAACCTAGTCATAAGAGTTTAAAGTTCAAAGTCTTTTGGTGAAATTATGCCCGTTTTCATCATCAATCCCTAATTTTTAAGTAAGCCCTATAACAAAATACCTGTTATTTGATTGATGGTGAAAATGGACATTAGTATTTTTAAGTTAGGTTGACTACAATACTAAAGTAATAAGTTAATAACTAAACGTTTTTTTCAGTCTCAAGTATTGCAAGAGTTTTTGGAGATCAGTCTTTAGTCTTAAAATTTAACGTCTTAGAATTATCCTTAATAAAAACTTATAAATCAACATAAGTTGACTTGAGCTTAATCTATACTATTTTCTGTAAATAGTTTAGCAAAAGTTAAACATTATTATGTTGTCTTATATTATAAGAACATGTAAAAATATGCTATCAATACAAAGAGATTTGTACGAAACGTGTTTTGTATTAAAAATATATGTATTTTCGTTAGGTATATCAACAAATCTTATTTAGGGTAAGTGTACCTAATTTTGATAAGAATTTTTTTGAAACAGTATCACTAAAAAAACTTTGAATTTTCTTACACCTACGAGTATCAACAACTTATGAACTTACTACAATACTTACATAATATGTGTATATTTTTTTATAGCAAGTATGTAACAAAATTAGAATAGTAACACGTTTTAGCACAATTTTAATGTTTCTGTATCAACACGGAAAAAAATGGAATGAGAAAGGAACTTTAATGTTCTTTGCATTCCTAGTATTAATAAGGCTTAATAGGTCCGTTTTTTATTTTTTTATATCTTTGTTCTTTATCTAGTAATTCTAATTACACAATACCATGTTGGTATTTAAAAAAATAAAGTTACTTACAAAACCACGAAGAATCTTCACATATCACTACACAATGTTCAGAATTTTCACAAAAACCGTCAGGTATATTTCGTCCAAGTCAGGCCTACCGACGATCACTTTGTTTGGAGACGCTACCACCAACTCCCGATTCACCAGTTTCAGGTTCGCACTGCTTGGGATCAGGTCCAATCTGGCTATATCCAGTTTTAGGCAGCTAGCTTCGGTATAGTAGGGGAGGTTTGGGGAAAGAGGGTGAATCTCCCCCGTCCAGGTGTGAGGTTCCCCTGTGAGTTTGTTGTAGACTGTTAGGTATCCCGTTTTGGGGGCGGGGTCTGTTGATAGTACCTGTGGAATTAAATTTATTTTTTAATTTTTGATTGGGCTTTTTAGAGGGGCAAATGGATGGGTTACTCATGGAAAAGTAATTAATAACTAAATAAAGCTAATTATTAGAAATGACAAAATATGGCAAGTTTAAAACAACATTTTGAACTTGCAATTTCGAAAATTAGATAGTTGAATAAACAAACAAATCGACACTATTAACTAAATATTGGTCGATCTTTGTCAATAAAATAAAATTCCTTTGTTTATAGTCATCATCACATTGATCCGTCGATTAAAACGTGAATAGGGCGATGGACGCGAACAGGTAACATGACCCTATTTAGAATTTTAATTAAAAAAATACTAAAAACAATAGTTATTGGCTTTATGACACACCACCACTGCAACTCCTGTTTAGGCAGGATCTACAGATTGGCCTTCAATGAAACCCAACCAGTGAACGTTGAGTAATCCCGGGAAATATAACTGTCTTGGAATCCGCAAGTTCGGTCGCCGAGCACATAGAATTTCGTCCAATGACCCCAAGCTACCCATCCTTATCGCTCGCGCGTGATCATATTGCTGTCGCGCTCGCACACTCACTGCGGGCGCCCGTCGCACAGTCGCGACAGCAAGTACGCGCGAGCGATAAGGATAGGTAGCTAGGGGTCATTGGACGGAATTCTATCTGCTCGGCGACCGGACTTTAGGAAATGTTATAAGATACATACCGACAGGGCCACATAGCATCCAAAGTCTTCATACTTGATGCTGACCACGTATAAAGTGGTGTCGTAAGCCACCACGCGACTGGTCCAGAATTGGCTCCGCAGTACACAGCCGAGTGGAAACGATAGGCTCCATTCACTTTGATCTGATTTTAGCACTAAACTAGGGTGGTCCTGGAAAAGGTGGACAATTTTTTTTAAATTAAATAATCAACTTGAAAAAATCGAACTGCCTAAGGCGGGAATCGAAGCCACGACCTTTCTCTTGCCGGGCGACTGCTCTTCCACCTGAGCTACTTAGACACTGGATGAACCCGTCGA